CCTGTGGTTTTTGTGTTACTTCTATTATTATTACCTCGTTAATAATACTCCTTAACTCCTTAGATTTACAAGGCCTTATCGTTTATTTAAGGATAATGATTAGGCAAATTCAATCATACCCGAAGTTGAATCCCCTACTAAGATCCTTATACCCTCACCCAACAAGATATAGGATAGATTGTAAATCATGATAACTTGATCACCTCAATGATAGTAGACTGTGTACTGATGTGCATCAGATGTTTAAGCCAACACAAGAGAGCTGTAACATCCACACGAACGTTGTGGCTCTCGATCATTTATCATTTCTTCAATTTTACCACAACTCGACCAACTAAGTTATAAGTGCGGGTAGTTCAACCTAAATCGCCAAACCTATTTAGGAACAAGATAGTAATAAATACTGCCTTCGACTCGGCTTAATTTGTTTGCTGAAAAAACGACACGATTATTTAAATAAGTACATAGTACTTAAATGGGGAGGGTTCTTATGTGAACTCGTCTTAATATGTGAATACCTTGTGATGAGAACTTTTAATTACAATCTTTCATCTTAACATGAAGGGTGGATATTTTCATAAATATGTTCTCACTTTAAAATAAATATGTTCTCACTTTAGAACCCTCTCCTATTTTTTTTGAGTATTCTTCTAAACCTATTAAAGTATCTGTTCATCTTCTTCTAAATAAATAAGGCATTTCGAATATATTTTTAAAATTAATTTTGATAAGTGTACAACATAATGATATCGTTGATGATACCAATGACATAGTTATAACTTATAAGTGTACTATTATTTAAGAGGGTTAACATGGGAAGCTTTAACAATGATCGCGGTGTCCTCAACGACTGAGAAGTGGAGCTTGTCGGAAATAGTCGTTAAAGTTGGGTGACGGGACAGTTTGTGCGCTAGGGCTTGGAAGGTTTGGGGACTGTGTAGGAGCCGGAAAGGTTGGGGGACTGAAACCTGGGCGCGAGATGATGGCTGGGAGCCAGTGGTGGGATGATGGTCATCGGCAGTGGTAGGTCACTGTGGCCAAACAGCGGCACCGGTAGTCGAAGACAGTCGAAAATTTTCCGACGATCACTAAGCTGGATGGTATCACTGTGGCCAGGGTTGATATGTCACTTTGTCAGTGTCACTTCGACCAGAGTCATTTTGACCGAAGTCATTATGTCACTATGTCGCTGTAGGTATAATTATAAAGTTGGTCATTTTTGGAAATATAAAAAAGAGGTCATTCTTTTGCCTTCTATCCTCATTTTTGTGATATTCATATAAAAAGCCTACTTTTTATAATCACCCATTATTTTGATAGTGAATTTTATGATCTTCTATCCATTAGATGAGATCAATCAAAGAGAAACCGAAGAAGCTTTCATTATTAATGGTCAACGATATACGGAGAATGTATTCGCAAAGATTTTTTTTTGTCCAGCCTCTTTTTTAAGACGTTGAAATTAAAAAAAAAAAAAACTTTCGGTGTGAAATAACTAAAAGTGTTCTTTTATGTCCATTCAACTTTTTAAACGATCGATATGATTAGAGGCTGTTTGGCGACCCTCATTTTCGGCTTATCAGGCTTATCAGTCAACTTTTTTACCAAACACGTAAATTTTGCTTTCGCGCACTGAATTGTGTAATAAGCCGAAAAAGTAAGGTTGAAGTTACTTTTCTGGCTGTATTGGCTGAAGTTACTGTAGATGACTATTTTAGCTATTTTTACATATAATTTTTTCTTTATTTTATTAATAAAATATATTTTAAAAATATTTTTTTCTTGTATCAGCAGAATCAGCCAATGCAGTCACTTCAGCCAGAAGTTTATAAATTTCAGCAGAATCAGCCAGAACAGCCGATTTTCGTGCTGCCAAACGGGCTGTATATTAATGTAAAGAACCCACTTTTCCTTCTAAAAATCTTCTATATATTCTCATAATCCCGTCTATCTGAGAAAATGTTGATTCCTTTTGAAGAAAAGGATGCATGTTATGTTATGCATTGTTTCATTTGCCCATATATTAATGAGTATTCTCTACACTATTATTTATAATTAAGAGGTATACTATTAAGTATACGGAGTGTTATATACTCCATATAATATATTTCAAACAGAAATTTGTCAATTTATAATCAAATAGAATTAAATACAGAAATTGCTCTAAATAGAAACAAAAACGTTTTGAAAATCCAAAATATGAATATGATGTTTTTTATTCCCTGAATAAAGTAATCTGCCAAGTTTGAAAAAAAAATGCCATGTTTTAAAGCCTAGTAAAGCCAAACTTGACAGAAATTTACTCATATTCAAAGAATAAAAAACATGATAGTCCTATTTTGGAATTTCAAAAGTTTTTTGCTCCTAAGGGAATTCTCCCAAATAAATATAAAGACAATACAAGAGATACTACCTGGTAGGTGAATATTATGGTACTCAAAAAAATGAGGGTGCCATATTTATGAAACATTTGATCGATTCAAGTTATCATATGATTTTCTATTTATGTTTAAATTATGCAATTGTAATATTCTAATTGATTCATATGCGCAATGCACAACATTGTATCATAGAATCCACCTAAATAATACTCCGGTACTTCCTATTTTGGTTTAGCAAAACTCCGCATCATTTGTGGATTACTACTCTGAAGGTATTTTGATTAAAAAATCATCATCTTTTATAAATGTCTATAAATATATAATCTGAAGTAGACAATACCGGCAGAAAAATGAAAAGCATCTTGTTCATGGAATTAAGAACAATTTATTAGGATGCCTAGTATAAAACACACTTATTGCTAAAATAATAGGGAGTACTCCTTACTCCGTAATAATCCATGTTTTTAGGCAGACAAAACCCCTTATCACCGCAAAGTGACTACTTTTTCAAGTGCTCTCAGCACAATTGATTTACTGTATTGCCATACAGTACGGAGTACAGTTTACTATTTTAGCTGCGTGGGAGGGCGCGAACAATGTCATCAAGGGTCCCAATTTTTTTTGTTTTTATTGAAGGGATTATTTGACTTTGCATCTCATTTTATTATCCAAATTAGATTTTGCACCCTATTTTTGAAATCATTAGTATTTGCACCCCAACCTCGTATGAAAAGACTAAAATGCCCCTCGATCAGGATTATGTTGAAGGCCAACAAAATTGTTAATTGAGGGGCATTTTAGTCTTTTCATACGGGGTCGGGGTGCAAACACTAAAGATTTCAAAAATGGGGTGCAAAGTCTAATTTCGACAATAAAATAGGGTGCAAACTCAAAATACCCCTTTATTGAAATGGACTGAAATGAATGCTACTCGCCTACTCGCCCCCTCCTAATTTCTTTTATTTTTGTTTTTTACTGGTAGACGTAGCTCAACCGGTTGCAATGGAGTCCCACAAGGGTCGGTTCCCGGGTTTGAATTCAGACAACTGCGATGAAGGGTTACTATGTTAAAAATGCATGGGGCCTCTGCTAGTACTGGGGACATAATCTCATTCTCTATCTGTCAGATTGGGATTATAGTGTGATAAAATAATAATGAGAGAATGGCTTACCCATCAGGTAGCCCTAGCATTGTATTTAAAATAAGGATATTTAGAGTAATTACACATCAGTCCTTATAATTACGCTATTACACCCCCTCAATCCGTGCAGGGGAAATCACGTGCAGATTGGAACGTAAAAACTCAAAACGATGAGTAGATAAATTTTTAGTAAAAATATTTGCTAACTGATATTGAGTAGGAACATATTTGACGACCAGATCTCCATGTGTAACTCTTTCACGTACAAAATGATAGTCAATCTTGATGTGCTTGCTGCGGTCATGTTGAATAGGACTGACAGCCAGGTATGAGGCCGACACATTGTCACAAAATAGCTGAACCGGTGCGGTAATGTGAATACCCATGTCGATGAGTAAGGAGCGAATAAACAAAGTGTCCTGTACGGTATACGCCACCGCTCTATATTCAGCCTCAGTATAAGATTTAGACACGGTTGACTGTTTCTTGGATCTCCACGAGACAAGATTTCCACCAAGAAAAATTGCATAGCCAGTAGTGGAGCGACAAGATCCCGGACAGCCAGCCCAATCAGCATCGGAATAAGCCACGACCACAGAGATACTCTGGCCTGAGCGTAGCCATAGGCCGTGTGACATGGTACCCTGCAAATACCTGTAAATTCTCTTGACAACAGCTAGCAAGGTGAGTAGTACATGGTGCATGCATAAACTGGGATACCAAATGTACAGCGTAAGTAATATCTGGTCAAGTATTGTAATGCACCTACGGCATGCTGCGGTACTCAGTACCATCACTAAGAAGTTCCCTATCCGAGAGAGACAAAGTAGTACGGGATGGTAAGGGAATTTTGACAGGTTTGACCGTGTGAAGATGAAAACGGTGCAAAAGGCCAGACACATATTTTTGCTGCGATAAAAACATCCCTTTGGCGGTACGTCGAGTCTGAATTCCCAGAAAATAATGAATATCTCCCAAATCTTTCATGGCAAACTGCGTAGACAATAATTGAATAAAGTGGTTTACCAAAGATAAGGAGCTAAGAGTAATGAGAATATCATCCACATATAAAAGAATATAAATAATTCGAGACTCAGAGTGATAAGTAAACATGGATGAATCGGACTGACTCTGAGAGAAACCATGGGAAAGTAAGAATCCACTAAAACGGTGAAACCATGCACGGGGAGCTTGTTTCAATCCATATAGAGCTTTGCGAAGACGACAAATATGAGATGGAAAATTAGGATGAATGAAACATGGCGGTTGGCGCATATAGACCTCTTCAGTTAGATGACCATGAAGAAAAGCATTTTTCACATCTAATTGCTGAACCGACCAGCCTAAAGAAATAGCCACAGAAAGAACAAGACGAACAGTGGTGGGTTTGACTACCGGACTGAACGTTTCAGAGAAATCCACTCAAGCCTGCTAGTTAAACCCTTGAGCTACTAAATGTGTCTTATGGCGCTCAACTGATCCATCAGAAAGATATTTACTTTTGTATATCCATTTACAACCAACCATATTTTTCTTTCTGTCACAAGGTACTAAATCCCAGGTATGGTTAGTAATGAGAGCATTAAATTCATCGGTCATGGCTGCCTGCCAAATTAAATTTTTATTTGCTTGAGAAAAACAAGTGGGATCATTAGGGAGAGCTAAAGTGTTTAAAAGTAAAAATAGATTTGGATTTAAAAATACCATCTTTAGCTCTCGTGCTCATAGGATGAACATTAGGAGCCATAGGGTTTGCATGGGGGGGGAGACGTCGTAGGTATAGGCTGCTGTGGGGAGGGGTCAAGATCAGGGAATGGAGACTGGGCTGGGGATGTTGAGGCCGAAGAAGGGCTGGAGAGTAGTGGGGTGTCGGATGGGGTGATCTGTGGTGAGGTGCCATAGGGGGAGGGAGGTGCCGAAGTGGCAGCATGGGGAAATGTTGGCAGGGTAGAGGACTTGGTTTCTGGCATGTTGGATGGTGGCGCTGGGAGGGTGGTAGATGTTGGAGGAAATAAAGGAGCGGTAGGTAAAGTCCACGGAGGTAAGGCTGCAGGTAGGGAAGAGGAGGTTGAGGTACATAGATCTGAATATGGAAAAGAGGTCTCATGAAAAACAACATCCCGAATTATGTAGACACGACCTGTTCGGGGATTAAGGCAACCGTATCCTTTATATCCCGGGGCATATCCAAGAAACACACACATAATGGATCGTGGGGAAAGTTTGTTGGAAGAACTAGCAACAAAATTAGGAAAACACGCACACCCAAACACACGAAAGAAATTATAGTCAGGGGATTTTTGAAAAAGAATCTCAAACGAAGACAAACCACGCAAAATGGATGTGGGCAAACGGTTAATTATGTATGTAGCCGTGTATAGGGCATCCACCCAAAAAGTGGGAGGAAGTTTTGCCTCTTGAAGCAGGGTGCGAGCCAATTCAAGTAGGTGTCTATGCTTTCGTTCAGCCACACCATTTTGCGCGGGTGTATCCGGACAAGATTTACGAAAAAGAATACCACATTTTAAAAAATGATTTTGAAAAGAGGAATTCACAAATTCACCGCCACCATCACTCTGAAAACATTTAATTTTGCAGTCAAATAAATTTTCAACAAGATTTTGAAAATTACAAAAATGAGTAAACACCTCAGATTTCTTATGCATCGGATACACCCAAGTGAACCTAGAAAAGTCATCAATAAACGAGACATAATATTTAAATTCTAAATTAGATAATATTGGCGACTGCCAGACATAAGAATGAATAAGTTGTAATGATGCAATAAAATTATGAATAACATCTTGAAAAGGAATTCGGTGGGACTTGCCCAGTTTACAAGAAACACAATCGTGTGAAAAAGTACTAGTACTAGAAATAAATTTATTTTTCGTAAGAGACAATAAAATGTGATCCCCACAATGACCAAGACGGTTGTGCCAAACTGGGCCCGAAACAAGAGTAGTCTTTAAAGCAAGGGACGCAGGTGGCTGGTAGGTTGCTGGAAAGGGATAAACGGAGTCTTTATTGGTTTGCCTGAAGGAGTATGGCTCCCGTGTGATTGTCTTTGACAAAAAAAATTATTAAAAATAACAGAACAATCATTATCCGCACACAAACGTTGAATAGATAATAAATTATAATGAAGGTGCGGAACATGATAGACTGATTTTAAAATAAGCGGGCGTGTAGGCGTGGATAAGCTAACATTACCAACATGTGAAACAGGGACATTTTGACCATTGGCAACACGAACAGAAAAAGGACCAGAATAAATGGATTTACTAGTCAAAATACCTTCATGCGGGGTCATATGAGCAGATGCCCCAGAATCGGGGTACCAAACAGCAGCATTTGCTTCACCCGTAGGAATAGCCGCCAGAGCCGACGTGGAAGAACTCATGAACCGTGAACATGACATGGCAGAATGACCTGGGGGGAAACAAAGCTGACAAACTACCAGCGGTGGGGGAGACTGATAATTTTGCTCAACAGATGGGAATCCTGCAAAGTGAGGGTGATTAACACAAGACGATAAAGCATTTATACTATGTAAACTTGCCCATAAATACTATTATCCTCCATGGATTGGTCCTCCTTTTTCTTTAAAGAAGTTAACAGCCTCTTTAATTCGATAGAAGGAGCCACACAAGCCGCCATAAATCTAGTCTCCAAACGTTGCCAAATCAAGGCAGAAAAATGAATAGTACGCACCTCAACTAAAATATTCCGGGAAAGGGTAGCAAATATCCATGAACGTACAATTTGATCGATTCTAAGCCAAGAGTGATACTCAGGATTGGGAACCTCTCTAGTAAAATTATCAAAAATTAATTGTGGCAGTGCAGGAATAGAGCCATCAACGATACCCAATAAACCATGAGAGACTAAAAAAGATTCAAACTGTGTACGCCACGGTAAATAATCTTCAACCTTATCCAATCGGGTGGTAGCAATATTTGTAACATTGGTAGATAAGGTTACCGTAGACCCCGACTGTCGTGATTGTGAAGGAACCTCAAACGGTGAGAGGCCGGGCTGTCCGGAGAACGTCGGACCAGCATAGGGCATTGAAATGGGGGCGAGTGGTGCTGGAGACACCGCTGCAGTGGGCTGGGGAACCGCCAGATGTAGGGTTGTAGGTGTCCGTGAAAAGGGCTCCGGCATGTTAAAAAGACTATAGGATCCCAATGATGGCGGCGGTGGCAAGGTGAGCCGCGAGGCAGCAATTTGCGGGGAGAGAATCACGCCAGAATTTGAAGGCTGCTCCGTCCGGTTGGGTGCCTGAAATTGTGCCGCTGCTGGAGATCCCGTGCTGGCGATTGGTTGTTGAACGGAGGATGTGGGCTGCGCCATGTGAGTATCAACGGCGGTCGACATGTAGAGTGCTAGGGTTGGAAAAACCTAGGCTTCTGATACCATGTGATAAAATAATAATGAGAGAATGGCTTACCCATCAGGTAGCCCTAGCATTATATTTATAATAAGGATATTTAGAGTAATTACACATTAGTCCTTATAATTACACTATTATATAGTTCAGTTTACATTCTCCCAACGTACCGTCCAGTCGAGGTTGGGGGCTCTCAGGGATGAGGTGTCATCCTTCCCTCCTATTTAGAAGATCACTACGTTAGGTTTTGACACAATATTTAAGAGAGAGATAATATGAATAATGAATAGTGTGGAAAAAGTAGAAGAGAAAGTGAAAAATAGAAAAGATAAGATAATGGGTAGAAAAAATAAGGATAATTGGATATTTTTAAAGAAAAATTACCAAAAAGGAAAAATGTAGCAAACTTTTAAATACATCCCAAATAAGAAAGTGTAGAAAACTTTTTAACACGTAGGGAGTAATTTATGCTTGCTAATTTATGAAAAGATTATTACTTTCATCTCATTTGATATTGTCAAATTTATATTAAATGTGAATGAAGCAAAATAAAAATTGTGTTAATGAGAGTTCTGTAAAGGAAGGAGAAATTATGAAAAACACAAATGATTTACTTTAAAGGAAAAGTCGCAAAGATTTTGAGAAAAATAAAAGGGAAACGAAGATAGTATCAAATAAATAAAGAAAAATTGTGTACTCCCAAAGTCTATAATTTTTTCATATTTCCTTTTCGTTGGGCATCAATTTTGCCATATGCACATTAATTTGGATTTTGGACATAAATTTAATTATTAGATCTAGTCTTAGTTGAACTTGATCTAGTTTAAAGTTTTAAACTAGCCTATATAATTATGAGAGATATGTAAAATCTCAATAGTCATATTATGAGTTCGTTAGATAACACTAGAATTGGATGAATCCGTTGATCCATGAAAATAATATACTCCGTACTAGTATTAAAAATATATCCCTCCGTCCCGAAATAATTGTCATGTTTCCTTTTCGGTCCGTCTCGAAATATTTGTCTCATTTCCTTATTTGGTAAACAAATTTATACAAAACAGTGTCAAACAGTGCAAAACAGTGTCGCTACAGTGTGAAATCAACTTTGTTTTCTTAATCTGTGTGAAGGTCAAAACAGGACGATTATTTCGGGACGGATGGAGTACTTATTAATAAATTGAAGGAAAAAATTATATACTAGTATTTACTTATTTATATTTATTATTCTTTATATTTTATAAGAACCGAATAGTACCAAAAATTGTTCAAACCGTACGGAACGGTGCATAATGGGACTTGTGTTTTGTGTTTATTGAACCGTCAGTTCTTTTGAAGTTTTAAAAGAATTATGGAGTATTGTTTACGACGTAGTATAAATGACACACGAATTAAGAAAGTGAGTTTTGTGTGATAGAGAATTGTGCAGAGGAGAGAGAAATGTGTAAGAATTGATGTGAAACACAAATTATTTACCAAAAAGGGAAAGTGAAGTTCTTTTTTAGACGAACAAAAAAGAAAAGTTGAAAGTATTTTCAGGAATGAAGAGAGTATTTTTTTAATCTTCCCATAGTGTCCCATCCTCAACTGGTCAACCCTACATGGCTACATGGTTGTATAATTGTACGAAGCATATAATACTGGAGATTTAAGAAATCCAAGTTTTCAAAGATGTTCCATTGGAGATTTAAGAAATCCAAGTTTTCAAAGATGTTCCACCAAGGAGGAGTATACATATAATAATGATACCCTCTTCAGTCCTTAATGAAGTTTACACTTTGACTTTACACATATTAAGGAAATAAATTTGACTTTACTGTAGAGTACACTTGTTGGCACTGTTTGACACTGTTTTGCACTGTTTGATGTAGATTTGTTTGCCAAATAAGGCAAATAAGGAAGTGTAAAGTTTAATATGAAACAACCCAAAAAGGAAAGTGAAATTAATTAAGGACCAGGGGGAGTATTTATCTAAGACCACTTGGAGTGGTGAGGTATTAGGAGTCCAAAATGTTAAAGATGAAAATTTTGGACTCCTAATTTCATTTAGTGGTGTGTCATAGAGGGTAGTAAAAGTGGGTAAGGGGATGAGAAAAGAAAAGGGAGAATTCACTAAATAGGAGTAAAAAAGTTTTGAAATTCCAAAATAAGAGTATCATGTTTTTTATTCCTTGAACAGGAGTAAATTTCTGCCAAGTTTGGAATGACTAGGCTTTAGAACATGGCATTTTTTTCAAACTTGGCAGAAATTTACTCCTATTCAAGGAATAAAAAACATGATACTCCTATTTTGGAATTTCAAAACGTTTTTGCTCCTATTACGGCAATTTCTAAAAAGAAAAATAAAAAGTAGGCCGGCTCGTGATAGGTCATGCATTCTGCTGATGTCACGCCGATGTCATTATAATCCCAAAATCTTTTATAACTTTTTTATTTGTTCTTCAAATTTCTCAAAAAGTATATCAAAATTCATGAATTTTTATGATCTTTCATAAGATACCAATATGTAACTTATGAAAGATTACTTGTATATAAAATGTTTTTTTTTTGAAATTTTAACTGTTGAAGTTTTCTTGAGCCTAAAAAAAACATATAACACATATTTTAGATTCATGCAGCCTTCACAAATAAGTGAATATTTCATAATCTAACGTTTACATGAAATAAGTTTATTTTTTGTTAACCAAAAAACGTAAAAATAATTAATGAAATTTATTTATTTTTATATCGAAATATGTCTTTTTATTTTATAATTAATCAGAGAAAAAATTAAAGGGAAAACATTACTTATAATAATTTAATTAATGTTTTACTAAATTGATTATTGATAAGTACAAAAATGTGCAGAGTATATTTTATTGACGGTGCTGGAATGCAGAGAAATAGAAGTCAAAACACTGTTTTCATATGGACGAAGTCCATTTTGACATTTAGACTCTCATCACTCCAAGTGGTCTAACATGGAGATTTTATTTGTAAGACCCTTAAATAAAAAATGTGTTCTTTTTCGTTTCTTTGATTTGTTGCATTCTTCATTAGACGTTCTCATTTCTCCGTTTTGACTTTTGAGTATCTCTATATTTAAGTTTAACTATTAATTAAACATTTAATTAATTAATTTTTCTATTTATTTAAATTTAACTATTAAATTTTTAATGTCCTCCCACGCTTAGGATCGACTAACTCATCTGCAATTGTCATTCATATAGAACCTTTCTCCTTTTCAACCTTCAAATTTCTCAAGATATACACGGACGACACCAACCGCTTCTCCCAAAATCTAAAAAAACTAAAAGGGAGCCACACGTCACGTGACACCCAAGCAGTGTGCCCCAAGCTTTATGATCAAAATGACTCCCAGCAGCATATACCTCAGCTCTCGCATCGATGAAAAACGTAGCGAAATGCGATACTTGGTGTGAATGGTAAAATCTCATGGGTGAATTCCATTGATTCCTTTAAGTTTCAGCCTTGCGGCCATAACCCCCGAAACCCAAAGACTTTGATTTCTTAAATAAAAAATATGCTTAGTAATTTAATGGCTATGTCTATTCAAACAAATCACGAACCTTATCATGCTACAGCGGAACTCAATTCACATACTCTATGAAATATCCAAATTGCATTTATTTGTGGTACAATTAACAAAAAATTAACAAACATCTTCTGTAAAAGATGACAATGCTTTATTCAATCAGTCCCATATTTAAGAGGAAAACAATCAGTTAGCCACCGCGGTAGCATGCCTCAGAAGCATCTGGATAACACCATGTGAGATTCTATTAGTGTCCGTGTTTAATCGTTGGATCTTTTCCTCCGTTTCGTGTTCAAGACGTTTGACATTTGCACCCGAGTCACCACTACTCTGGTCATCCGCACATTAACTAGGGTTACTTAGCTTTAGAGAACATTGATAACAATATATGAAGCTATTGAGACACCTGGTATAATATAAGCTTAAGAAAAGAAACTAGATAGACGATAAGAGTAAGTGTTAGGTCTGATTCGACCCAGGTTAGCTCCCAAAAAGTGAGAAGCCAGGATTGCTTTGGATTCATTCTTCTATGGATAATGGTATAGGTAGGAAGAACGTCTAGAGAGAGTTTAGGGAATAATAAAATTACACCAAATGTATCTCCATGTGAATAAGTGATAGCGAGTAAAATTGAGATAATTTTATAATGTCTTAAACCCTTCTCTAGCCTATCTTTATACCTATCCTTATCATTATCCTTCTTTATGTTTAGCAGATGCGGAGACTTCAATAATTTACCTGGGATACTTTCTTCTGAAATGCAGCTTCCAAATTAGCCCGAAACACTGCTATCTCTTTCTCAGCTTCTTCCTTTGCCTGTTTCAGTCTCGCCTGTTTCGCTGCAAAAAAATGAAACTCTATCACCCGTGTCCACAATAAAAACAAGAGTAACAAAACTGGCATCAATCGCTCAGTCCAGAGCCCAATGCACACTATGAAGCATTGAAACATCATAAGCAAAAGCAAGTCATGCCGTAAACATTTATTCAAAAGTTATATGCTGTCTGGAATTTCATCTGTCCCTTAAAGTTTCTACACACATGCTATGTTAGTAACTATAATAATTTCTAAAATCAATAAGATTAAGAGACTACTTCTTATGTTTCTACTCATCTATCTATGACGATTTTCCCTATTGTCAATCCATTTAGTAAATCCATGCACATTAAAAAATCCCCCCCCCCCCCCCCCTCCCAACTTAGGCCGCCTCTTATACTGATTTCAGTTCACTTTATTCCCCAATTCGCTCAATTAATAAGGGCATCTTTTGAAAGGCATTGATCATTTTGAAAAATTTATCAAGCCTAGCACATTTTTCGTAACTGTTTGATACAGCCGACCTAGCAAGAATGGATTGAGTATAACATAACTGACTAAAATCCCCCCCCCCCCCCCACACACACACCTAGATGGCTATATACGTTAGAAATATACGGAGTATGTGATTATGTACATAAAGTAAAATGTTCTATTTGAAGTATGAGAGTTGAGAAAAATAAGAAGAAATTACCTGCCCTGGCAGCAGTGACAACTTGCTGAGCTTCTTTCTCTGCAGCTAGCAAAAGATGAATTCCCCCACTCTGGCCCCCCCTGTTAGATTCCATAGTTGTCTATAAACGCCTACCTACACCTTAATGAATGCAATAAGATATGGGGTAAACCAAGTATGTTCAGATTATCGAGATGA